TTTAGGGCCTCGCACGCATGTCTCAGTGCGTCAGTGGGGCGGATAACTTTGGGCTGAGTCTCTGATGGAGTTGCAATTGTGCCAAGACTCTTGATGTTAAGAGGGGCCGAGATGGACGTCAACGCCGCATCTATTCTTACTCCTGCCGCAGGAAGAGAGCAGCCAAGTCAAGCAAGTGTTCATACATGGCTGACAGACAGATAGGTTATATATAAATAGGTGTGCCCAGCGGAGACGGGTCAGATCCTTATCCTGGGTTATTCCCTGCCATGTGCCCCTTGCTTTTGGGACGGGCACCGAAATCCTGTGACCCTGTATAGGACAAGCAGATGTGGGTGGGTGGATGAATGGATGGATGGATGGATGGATGGATGGAGGTGAGCCAAGGTTATGGGAGGAGGATGGCAGCTTCTGGGTTCTGGGCTGTTTCCTGTCCCTGTGTGGACTTTGCATGTCCTCTCCATTTTCACAAGAGTTTTCTTTGAGTTCTGACTCAGTACATAGTCATGTGTTTTAGTTGGGATTAGCCATGATAAGACGTTGCCCTTGGTTTGTGAATTTGTGTGCCTCAGTACCCTGTTACAGACTGTCGTTCTGTCCAGTGTCTGTGATCCTGGTAAGTCCCTGCTTTGGCTGCGGTCTGCAGAGAGATGCCGTGCTGTCAGAGTTTGGGCTTTTCCATCATGCTGCTCTGTGGGACAACTGGCCTCTGCAGGACAAGGCAGACAGTTGAGAGCTAAAGGCTTAAATATCTCCCATGTCTTTTACTGCTAATGCAAGGTGATATTCTTGACTTAATTTGTAATGGGTTCTGGTTTGGAAAATGCTGCTCTTGTTATTAGTAACCCATCCAGCCTCTAACCATGTGCTTTTGTCTGGGTTGGGGGGAGGGTGGGGGGGGGTTGTACTCACTGGACAGGATGCCATCCTATTATAAGCAGACAATCTCTAGCCACTACTCTGGGAGAGACAGGGCTTATTTGTTTTAGGATGAATGTTTTTACAATTAAAATAAAATAAAAGGTTTTAAGAGCGCGCCCTTGGTAGGTGGTGTTTGATGGAGGGTACAATGGCAAATGCGAGGGACCCCAACCCTGTTTCTCCATTGTCACGGCCACTGTGCAGCTTCGTTTGAGCACAGCCATTCAAATGGCGTGCATCAGTCAAACAGGGTGGGGGCAGTGCTTCTCTCTCCAGTGGCAGAGCAGTCTGACAGGTTTGGTGGGCCGTGTGGTATTCTGAGAGAGGTCTGGGAGTGATTCCAGCCTGTTTTTCTCTGTGTAGCCCAATCGCTTTTCGTCTGCTTACAGTAAACAAATACATGGTGGATATATTTGTGGAATGATGCTTAACTGGAAATTAAACTAATGCGTTCACATTACACCAGTCATCCAAGTTTGTTTTGAGATGGACTTTGTCTGTGATCATTATGTTATGTATTTAGGTAATTAAAGTAGCCATTGACTTCGTGTTCAGAGCAAAAGTATTTCTTGGAATATAACATGTTAGCCATAGCTGCTGTTCCAGCGAGTAGCACAAACAGGCAGACTGGGATAAACAAAAAGGCGTATTGAGTTTCAGTTTCAGAGACGTCTCATTAAGGAGATTTCATGGGGCACTGCGGTTTTTTGGTGTATTTATTCTCTTATAGTTGGATAAAACACAACTAGTGCATTTTGCTTTTCTCTTCATCTCCATTATAGCTCTAGTCACCTCAAAAACATTGTGCTTCAGTCAGCTGTTGCTTGAACATTTTGGGTAAACATGACTTTGTATGACTGCCAAAATAATCATTCCTTATTTCTGCTGCCCCAGTTAAGTTCTCAAAAGCCTGAATAGCGCACATTTGGGTAATTTACGTTAGCTTCACTAGCAGTTAGTCCCACTGTTCAAGTTTGTTGTTTTTTTTTTTTGAGATGTAACATTGTCTCATTAATGTAATAATGTAACATTGACTGTCACATTAAGGTTACTTAGTGACATAGTTCTCACATCATTACAGTTTCGCCAGCTACTGCTGAGTCTAAGTTCTTGCCTCCTCCCTTTTGGTATTCGCTGGTGATCTTTTATTTTGGTGCTGCAGCTCATTTCCGCTTGGATGCCTGACCTCCCAGTGTGGTGGAGGAAATGATTGCAGAGTTTCTAGGAAGCCACACAACATCCATCATCCTCCTAGGCTTTTCAGAAATGAGGACAGAAGCTGTAGGAAATGACTTTCATCTTGTATCGTGTTGATTATATTGTCAAACACGCTAATGTCCTCTGTGTCTGGATGAGTGTTTTCGCACGTTTGATTGTCTGTCGAACAGGAAGATTTTTTGACTTTGAGGGTAAATGTGTTCGTACCTTCCTGTTGATTTCTCCATTGCCTGTTTTCTCTGTGAGTAGTAGGGAAACTCGATAGACCAAACAATGTATGTGAATGTGTGGCTCCCTCGCTGTGGAACAGTACCCTGGAACAGTACCCTGGAACTCTCACTTTTCATGTTCATAGTTAAGGTCCAGGTATCCTGATAATCCAGGTCTTATGTGAAATATTAATCTGGAATTGTACAGCTTGCATTGTGCCCTGTGATGGGTTGGCGCCCCATCCTGGGTTGATCCCTGCCTTGTGCCTGTAGCCTCCGGGATAGGCTCCGAACCTCCCGTGACCCTGAATGGGATAAGTGGTTACAGAAACTGGATGGATGGATGGATGTACAGTTTGTGATAATCACACAGTGTTTGTAGTTCTCAGTGTAGACCAGTCGCTTTTCTGTTTTTGTCTTAATTAGAGTAGAGTGGACTTGCTGGTTCTGCAGCTCAAAATGAAGTGGCTTATCAGATTTTGTAAGGTTTTCATTGTGCTCTTTAAGTTTGTTAGATAATGATTCTGTTGAAACATTGTGGATTTTGAGCCTTTCCTTCTTAATAAACATTCAAGTGATAAAACTGCTAAACAGCACCATGATAAGGAAAAGTAAATGTTTTTTTTATGATTCAGTCTGATTTCACACTGTACTACCAAGAGACCAACTCTGGCTACAGGAAACTAAATTAGGGAAAGAATGTATGCGTTGAAATTATGATTCTCACAAATGATTTAGTTTGCAAAGACGGGGCACTGCAGTTTCGACATCCAAGAGGACATCTCTGGGTCGAACTGTAACAAGATATTAGATTTTTCTGCTTTAAAATGAGGAGTCTTTCTTATAAAGCGTATCTTTATACCAGAAGTTGGCTAATATGCTACTACTTCTATACATAACTTGGCTGTTATTGAAGTACACTACCTTTTTGAGGCAGTGCAGACCAGTCGCTTATATGTAATTTATATATATATAATGTTTATCGCCATCTTGGCGCCAGACTGCAGACTCTGACTCGTTCTGGGGAATCCCCAGATGTTCCCAAGCCAGACACAGTATTCCCTCGCTTCTCCTGGGTCTGCCATTGGCCTCCACTCAGTGGATGCGTCTGGAATAGCCAATCAGGTGGCATCCTCATGGTGTGCCCAGAAAAATCTTAGTAAACTCCTCCTTCTCTGATGAACCTTTGGCTCTGTTTCAGGATCCCTTCAGACTCGTCACCAGATCACAGAGATTGAGCCGGCAACCATATGCAGAAACCTCATTCTAGCCACTTGTATTTTTACATATTACCCACAACTCTTGACCATACTGTAGGTAATGACAGTGACATACATTGACAGTAAACCACTGGTCTCTTAAAACCCCAAGTGTGGCCAGACTGCCCCTTTCACCCTACTTAGCACCCGCAAAAGAACAACCAGGAAACCGCAAAGCGTGTTGCCTTAATCATTTCAAAACCTCCAATCAAATCACCTCAGTGTTTACAGTAACTATCCAATATACTCAGGCAGTTGACCACTAACAGACCACTTTTTGCTGTGATGATCAGAATCAATTTATTAAAGTTAAGTGAGCTAGTGGTGAGTGGGTGGTGGGTGGTGCTCTTCTGGCCACCCAACAAAAAATCTGCAGCTTTTGGGAAGACGGGGGAAATTATTGTTTCTTTTTATTGTAATTCTGTTAATGCGTACATATTATTATGTTAAGCAGTGTTTTTTTCTGAGTACATATATGTGGGCTTTAGACATAATCTTCTTTGGTTGCCAAAGACTTTCGCACTGTACTGTGGCTCTGTGGATTGTTGAAGCGAATGAATCCCCCCCCACCCCATGCAAAGGCCATGATGCTCTATGCACATCCATTCATTTTAACTGGAGAAAATATAGAAATCAGTTGTCAGAAAATCCCAAATTAAAGCCTGTGTATGTATGTGTGTGATGTTGCGCTTTATGTAGACAGTGTGCAAAGCTTGTTTCGCGTCTTGTTTTTCATTGTCTGTCTCCATAAAGACCTTGTTGAGCTTGGCCTGGCTGAGGTCCTCTAGCAGGGACGTCCCACTTGGGGGGCGGGAAGTTGAGATACTACTGAGGTTCACAGTAACCCTGCTGTTTTCTCCTGAAATGTATCTGGCATATTTATATAGCCATGAAATATTAATAGACAGCTGAAACAGAGACATCTGCCCATCTGGGCCGCATTCCCGTCTGAAGTCACACATCTGTGGTTTAGTGGGGAGAGCTTTATATCTAGCAAATGAGCTGGCTAAAGCCTTGCATTTAGGGTTCATGACAGGTTTTTATTTAACCTCATGCAGACCGATCTTGCTGAATTGGAGACTCTTACAATGCAGTAATACACATTGATAGAGACCTGCCTTCTATATGTGAAATTGAACTTCTCCAGCAGTGCATTGGCTCTGCTCATACAACAGCGTGTCTTGTCTAAAAAAATAAAACCATGTAATACCTTGGAATACCCAAGGTAATCAGTAATCAGTCTAAAAATATTCATGCTGGAACATGCTGTTAAAAAATAGCTGATATTTGAACCCTGTGAATACATTCTTGATATATGAAGTTGTAAAATTTGTTCCTGAAGGTGGGACGGAGTACTACAATGTAACAATGTAACCCTTGTAATTCCCTGCAGCCATCAAGGTGAATTGCCATGGCTTCTGTGGTGTGTCCAATCGGGAAAACAGTTCCTCCTGGGTCCTGGAGGAACAGTACTTCAATAGCACTCTGTCCCTGGCAGATATAGGTGAGTCACAATCATGTCTTTACACCCGCAAGGCACTGATAGGTAGCTGATCTGGGCTCCATCAGGGAAAGTGAGGGGAGCGAGTGACAAGACTTTGTTAAATGCTGTAAATCAAGGGAGTTTGTACTGTAAAATGACAGTAGTTAGAGTAACTATGGTAATATCTGGTAGTATCTCTGGTAATATCATAATAATACTAGTATTTAAGAAGTATATGAATTGTAGCTAGTGTTTAAATAGGGTCAACAGTGGTCCACTCAGCTCTGTCAAGAAAGAGGATTAAAAAAATACTTTTCTCCTCAGCTTCAGTGCCACCATCTCAAACCACAGCAGATGTTTGGTTTAACTGACCTACTTTCTCTCTGTTTATCTCTCAGCATTTATCTGTCTGTCTGTGTCTCCTGCATCATGACCTGTTCTTACATTCGGCATAGTTGCATTCATATGATGTCAAGTGCAAAAACAGTGAGAGAGTTTCTGGAGAGACTCTGATCTTTCATTAGGCGTTGGCTGTAGAACAGGTGTAAGCTGGAATTTGTTATGTCATTTTGCAAGATTTTGCAAAAAAAAAGCCCATATTTCCATGAATGAGTGGGACTGTAATTTAGTTTCTCAGGATTGATTATTTTTTTTCTGCATATAATTGGTTATAATTCAAGGTTTGAACCAGACCTTCAGTTATTAATGACACATAATTGCATTTGTTGTCATTTCTCCCATGTTTCTCTCCCTTTGTGTGTCTTTGAACATGCCTGATCCTTTGTTCTCTTAATGACACACTAAAGTCTGCGCGACGGTGCTGGGGGAAACGTGAGCCGCCTGCTCCGTCGTCTTACTTCTTCTTGCTGTTCTTCTTCAGGCACACTGACCCCTGGGGAGCACAGCTTTCCTTTCCAGTTTCTCATTCCAGGTGAGATCAGATACGTCTTGATAGACTTGTTGTTCTGCATACATTCATGTTACGATTCAGGCTTCGCCCTGCCACAGTTTCAGGTGTTGCTTACGTTATCCTGCCTATTTCAGACTTATTCACTTTTATTAAACAAGATGTTATACAAATCATAACCATTCATTAGTATGATTATATTGCACTAATTTACCAGCACCTTATTCACTGTGAATGAGTGTATATGTGTGTGTGTACATATTTAATTTATTTTTTACTGTGTGTCTGCTGGTGCACTTCAAACGAAATCTCATTGTACTTGTACAATGACAATATAGCATCTTTATCTTATCTTTATCTTTATGTACAGATAGCTTTTTTGAATTCCATGTTTATGAATATTTAACGTAATTAATTAGTTTATTCTTATTTATTTATTGAATTTAATTCATTTGCAGCCAGCTTGCTCTCACCTACAGGGATCAATAAAGTATCAATTATTTTTATTTATTTATTTTATTTAGGCAGTTGTTCTTTAGTTTTTAAAAATCCATTTCACACCTTTGGTTAATTTTCTTTGTTAGTGTTTTATTTTTGTTTTTATTACTGGATGCTGTACTCATCAAGGATGAAGTAAATGAAAAATGAATATTGTAGTTCTGTAATCCGTTGGAGGAAAAGACCAGCCATACCTCATTCATTCTCAGCGTGACTCTCCTATGTGTTTGTGTACATTCTGCTAATGCCAGGTCATAGCTGTTCCTGGCCATTGACAGCCGCCCATCTGCTCTTACCTGTCTGTGCTTTTTCTCGTGGGCATTGGCCAACGTGTAGATTTATGGCCCACATGTAGATTTATGACTTTCATTACTATGCGCTTTAAATGGACAGGTGGTTATCTGCTTCGGTAGGGACTGAGAAACCTTTTTGTTCCATGTTATAGATTGTTATAGATTATAACCTTGTTATAGATTAATTTCTCAGCACAAAATGTTTCACTGGCATGAACAATCTGTTCTTATCCCATGTAGAGTCTTCTCCAACGTCCTTCGATGGGAAATTTGGAAGAACTGTTTACCGATTGACATCAGTCATAGAAACACCTCGCTTCTCTAAGGACTACAATGCTGTCAAACCCTTCTACCTGCTTAAGCCCCTCAACCTCAACGAAGTTCCAGATATTGAGGTGATAAGCTCCGTGGATACTTTATATCAGCATTAATTCTTTCCTTTGATTTGAATTGGAACACTTCTAATTATAGAACAGCCAGTCGTCAACAACAGAACAATTCTGGCCAAACGTGAAAAAGCAGTTTGACAGAAAGAAACGACAGAATCTTGTTCATTACAATACCAAAAGTTGAGGATGTACTTTGAATTGGCAGGATTTCAGCAGGGACGCCCCAGTGTTGCATAAAAGAATTTGCATCTTACTGGAAAAACAGATATGAAGCACAACAGTGCACTTCCAACAAATACGGAAAGTAATAATGTAGCAGACGAGACCTGTAAATCCAAGGGTTACCAGTTCAGGCATGCTGGGCTGAAAGACCCTGTTATGGAGGAACCCCCACAATAACAGGGGGAGAACTCCACACAGGAGCCATAGCAGAGACTTCAACCCTGGTCCCAGAAGTGTGAGCCAACAGCGCTAACCACTGTGCCCCCCCAACAGGGGATGAGATAGAATCCAGCAGACACTACAGTCCAGGGCCCTTGTTCACCAAAATTTGTGGAAGTTTCAATATAAAAAAAAAAAATTCATATGCATAAAAAATTTCGATTTATCAAACCTGGCGTACACACATTTCCACTCGGGAATGTTGGAACATTCTAGTAAATACGCATATGAGCCTGAGATCCTGCCCAGTTGCCGCCCACAAATAACCATAAATGATCAATAAATTACATTTTCATATCATATTTAAATCAAGCCTTTCTGGTTGTTAAGTCTGACGAAAGCAACCATAAATAAAAAAAATTAAAAGAGGAATTTTGAACTGTGCGACATAGAGGCAAATTAGAGAAGAAGTGACAATTACAGTGAGAATTACTCCCTTTGATGCAATCTTTGGGCCTTAAGACTTTGCAGATCATTTGCATGCACATAAAGTTATGTAACACACTAAAGGAAAGACCTGGAAAAGCATAATTGGGCCCCTTTAAATCTAAAAATGTGTCTTGAATGGCAAGACATCACTGCTGCAGTAAATGCTGTCAGCTTTAGAAAATGCCCTGAGAAAAATGTGGCTGAATCTGAAGATAGAGAGATGAATTTCTGTGGACAGGGTCAGTATTACTGCAGTTATCGAGGGTAAACCCACATCTTTGGAGATACTGATGTGTTACGTGAAACTCGAATGTATCAGTATCATGTTGGCAACACATGACTTGCGCATTAACATGAATGAAATGACTTTCATTTCACAAAAGTGGCTGAATTACTACATTCTGTTGTCTGCATCTAATGCTGTATAGTGTAATGTGCATTTTATAAATAAACTATGATATGAGGTGCCTTTATCGCAGTCACACCGCAGTGAGTTGCTCATATTACATTAGGAAAATTGGATATCACTGCAAATGTAGTTTTTATGTTTGCCTCTTCATCCATAGCACAGGGAAACATACATTTAATGCAAAGACATTACACATAATGCAAACAGTAAAGAAATAAGTAAAAATAATCTTGGTGGTCCATGAAGACGTATTTTCTTCTAATCTTTCCATTTATGTAGTCACTTTCAAGAACGTCATTATGCCGTGTCATGGGCATTGTTGGGTCCTGTCATTTGAGTATTTTTGCCCTGATGCCAATCTTACTTGGGGGGGAAAAAGAAGTCAAACCCAGGTGAACTTGACTTAGTCCCTGATCTTATCAGTAGCTGGAAACTCCCCTGTGCCGTATCACATTCTCGTGACTACAGGCTATTTTTATATAGATTTATATAGATTTACTGTGTTGGATGTGAAGGCACTGGTTGAATCGCTGGCATGCACCCGGCCATTTTGCTGGTTTACCTGCAGTTCGATGCTTGACAACGGGTGTCGCCTTTTCTCGATTTGTCCAAAATGTTGCGTACACCTCCCCTCGAGTTTCAGTAAGTATACACATTTTCTCCAGTCAGGTTTTGTTTGAAAGATCTGGGATTTTGTGTAAAAAAAATAAAATAAAAAAAATTCTGCATGCAGATTTTGAGCATCTATTTGCACATATAGAACTTTGATAAATGAAGCTCCTGATCTACCCAGAACTATCATATTCACATTAGTTACATCATCCCATTACACACAGTCCATAAACAACTTAGTCAAGCAACAATATAAATTTATAGTAATTTTTCTGACTGCGGCCCGGCACTAGATAACTGGTTGGAAGATGGATGGTGGATTGTTTGAATGTTTTGGATCTAAGCATGAGCTGCTTCTCACGTGTGTGTTCCTCTAACCAATCAGAGTTTTTATTCTTGTTTTATATTAACTCCATAGAAACCCAGTTCATCTCAGGCCACAAAGAAGTTCACCTACCTCCTGGTAAAGACCGGGACAGTCGTGTTGAACGCTAAATGCAGCATGCGAGGCTACATCCCCGGCCAGGTTATCGAGCTGACCACCAAAATCCACAACGACTCGGGGAAAGACACCGGCCACGTGCTCGGCGCTCTCATACAGGTGCACCTGGAACGATCTGCATCCATGGCTGCAGAATCTCCAATTAAATAGAACCACATGGAGATGCATTATTTCGAGGAGCCTAATTACTAGAAGATGTATCTGTCTGCTCTTGTCCCTCGACAGAAAGTAACGTACAAGACCAAGCGGCCCATAATCAGTGCAAGGACGATCGCGGAGGTGCAGGCCGCTGGGGTTAAGGCAGGAGGCCACACTGAGTGGAAGGAGCAGATCGTGGTTCCGAGCCTCCCACAGTCGGGACTGGATGGCTGCCGCCTTATCGCTATTGAATACTTTATTCAGGTCATTCTGCATTCATTCATTCATTCATTCATTCGTTCATTCATTCATTCATTCATTCAACTTCGCAACATTTGGACTGTAGCTTCTTAATCTGAGTGGATGCAATTTGTAAATGGATGTAATGGATTTGTGTGATGCATCGTTTTACTTGTAAATCAGAAAAGTTTCCTTTTCTAAATATAGCAAAACAAAACACGTATGTGTCACTGTAAATAAGGAATAAGGTGACAAATAATAAAAATGCCATCCATGCTTTGATTATTGGCTTTGATATTTGATTTTTAAAATTTTAAAAGTTAAACTAAGCTCTGTCATTCTGCTACTCTGCAGGTATCTCTGAAGTGTCCAGAGGTGTTAGTGACTCTACCCATATACATCGGGAACCTACCAATCAGCAGCCCCTCCGTGGCACCAGCCAGGGCGCCCCCCCCAATCCCAGCAGACGCCCCTGTTCCACAGCCCAGGGTCAGATCTCACACGGTGACCCCCACTGCTCCTCCAGCTGATGAACTGGCAACCCCTGCAGCAGCTAAGACAAGAGCCCCCCAGGTCAAGTCCTGTCATAGTTCTCCCGGCCTCCCGCCCCCAGTCTCCCCCAGGACCTTCCGACATACCCCAAACCAAGGGCAATGCCAAAGCCTGCGTGACCGGGCACATTCATCCGCCGGGCCTATGGAGGGCACCATCCACTTCTCAGGAAGAAATTCCACACCTGCACCTACTAACAGGGCATCAGCCATGCAGAACAGAACAAGCAACTACCTACAAGGTGATTATGCGTAACAAATGCTTATTTATACCTGATCGAATACTTCACTTTTTTTTTTGGAGTCATTCTGTTGTACTGCCACACCCACTGCCATGAAGAAGTGCCAGCCATCTAACGACTGGTATCCCTGTTCACAGACCCCCCTCCCACATATGAGGAGAGCTGCAGCGATAACGATCCCAGGTTCAGCGCAGGAAGGAGACCAACGGCTGGGTTCTGAGGCTCCAGCTCCAGCTGATCCAAGCGGCGGGACGCTCTGGGAGTACAGGGGTGTTTCTGCTCAGCCTTAGCCAGAGGGAAGCCTTCACCTGTACACAGCATGTTCTCCTATACACAGAACAGGGAAAATTGATGCTTCTTCTCTCATCTAGACTGACTTACCTTACTTACATTGTAAGGGATTGGAATGAAACTGCAAAGCAATTTTATCTGCTCATGTGAAACACACGAAGGGCAATTCACAAATCATAGAACTGGTTAAAGATGGCAGCAGAGACAGATTATCATGGTTTGAAGCCCCTGGGCTACATAAGTTGTCAGGGATCCTCCTACTGTATTCTATGACGGTGTGATTGTTGGCCCGCGGTGGGGGGAGTTAACATTGTAATAAGGCACCTTAATGAGCCCCTGTGCACTGGGTGTATTTTTAATATAATGCAACAAAAATGCATCTTTTATGTATCGAAATCCCATAGTTTTAAAAACAGCCAATGTTGAACGGTGTTTTAAACTACAGAACAATTTTCATAGATATTTTCAACATACTAATACAGCATTAGAAGCAGAACTTCCCAGGAACACCATGTGAGTTACTAATATGTTTTGTATCAGTCAGGATTGTTGGGCGTGGGCCTGGAGCCCATCCCCATCAACATATAGCTGAAGGCTGCAGTACAAACAGTCATTCTCTATGGCAGTGTTTCCAAATCCGGTCCTCAGGGACCCGTAGCCGGTCCATGTTTTTGCCTCCTCCAAGCTCCCTGCCAGACAGTCCATGTTTTTGCTCCCTCCCAGCTCCCTACCAGACAGTCCATGTTTTTGCTCCCTCCCAGCTCCCTGCCAGACAGTCCATGTTTTTGCTCCCTCCCAGCTCCCTGCCAGACAGTCCATGTTTTTGCTCCCTCCCANCCATGTTTTTGCTCCCTCCCAGCTCCCTGCCAGACAGTCCATGTTTTTGCTCCCTCCCAGCTCCCTGCCAGACAGTCCATTCTTTTGTTCCCTTCCAGCTCCTGCCAGACAGTCCATTCTTTTGTTCCCTTCCAGCTTGTGGTAGGGAGCAAAAACATGGACTGTATGAGTCCGTGAGGACCAGATTGGAAAGCCCTGCTCTATGGGCAATTTAGAGATTCTAGTTCAGCTGACTGTATGTCTTTGGATTGTGGGGTATGGGGACCTGGAAGCAACCTGCTCAGCCTGACGAGAACATGCAGTGTCCACAAGGAGCAAGGATGGGATTGAAGCTCCCCGTCTTGGAAATGGGAGGGTACAGTGCTACCCTCTGAGCCAATGTGGATATTTACTAATGCTGAGGGTGATCGCTGTCCTTTGTTAATGGGCCCTTTTTACCCTCAACATCACAAAGAACAGCTGGAGGGAGACCAACACAAGCAAAATAAGATGTGCCTTGGATTCTCTTGTCCGTCACTCCACTCCTGCCTGGCCTTGGTTATGTATATGCAGCTCTTTGTGTAGTTGTTGAGCATGCAGGACTAATATGCATTTGGAGAGGTAATAAAACACCACTGCTGTATGTTAGCTGGGTCGCAGCTAAACACACCTGTACTTCCAGTTAAGCTCTTCCTAGGCTCGCCTCTGTCAGTCTTTTATATGTTTGAAGGTTAAAACAAACTCCTGCCGACTCATTACCAACCTATGACGTCTTTTATAGTGTCATTTTTCTCTGCTTAGAAAATGGACTTTTGGCAATAGTCACTTTTATACTGTACATTATGTTGAGCCTGTGTTTAAACTGCAAGATTTGTATCCGACAGTGACCACTTAACTTCCATTCTGGGATAGCTGACTTCCTGTCAGGTGACTTGCTTCCTCCATCAGAGATTTCCTGTGCATCTACATTAACCCAAATTGCTCCAGGGACACTGGATGACCCTGCGTTCTGATACTTGCTTGTATGTTGCTCTGGACAAAAGCATCTACTAAATAAATGTGAATTTTATACTATCTGTGTACACCAGTGGGTAGCACTGTGACATCTACTGTAGGAGTCAGTGCTGTGGGTTTAATTCCCAGCTCTGTGAATCATGTGTGTTTCATTCTAAAGATGTGCATTAGGTGAGCTACTAATTCAACCTAATAATTTTAATACAAGAAATTGACTACTAGATTTAGATGCATGGGGGGGGGGGGGGGGCAC